GAGTTGTGGGAGGTGGGCATTCCCACTTATGATGCGTTTTCCAACCAAAGTTTTACGATGAAGGCTGCCGTGTTATGGACCATAAGTGATTTTCCGGCTTATGGAATGTTGTCAGGATGGAGTACACATGGTTATAAAGCTTGTCCACATTGCATGCATGATAAAGAATCTATTTACTTGCCAGCGAGTCGCAAGATTTGTTATATGGGGCATCGACGATTTCTTGAAGATAATCATAGGTTTCGAAGGCAAACCATCACTTTTAATGGTCGTCGAGAGCATCGTACTGCACCAAGGCAGTGGACTGGTTTACAATGTCTCGAAGAACTTTCTACATTGAGATTTACTTTTGGAAAACCAAACAAGGATGCTTCAGTTGGGCAACGCAGAAGAAGAGCTTCGAGCAGTACAAGTAGTAACAGTCAGTGGAAGAAGAAATCGATTTTTTATGAACTACCTTATTGGAGGCATCTCTTGATTAGACACAATCTTGATGTTATGCATATCGAGAAGAATATATGTGACAGTGTGGTGGGAACATTGCTAGATATAGAAAAGTCTAAAGATGGATTGGCGGCACGTGCAGATCTTGAATTCTTGAACATAAGACATAGTCAACACCCACGTAGAGAAGGAAATAGAACATTTCGACCTCCAGCATTGTTCACATTGAAAAGAGAAGAAAAAACTGCGTTTTGTAAAGTATTGTCTACTATTCGGGTCCCAGATGGATATTCATCAAATCTGTCACGATGTGTGCACGTGAATGAACGAAAAATACATGGGTTGAAAAGTCATGATTGCCATGTTTTAATGCAGCAGTTACTCCCGCTTGCAATACGCCCGGTTTTGCCTAAAGCTGTTACTATGGTTTTATTAGAGTTGAGTGCAATTTTCAGACAGTTATGTAGTAAGAAGGAGTCTGAGGAAGGATTTAAGCAACTGAATTCAAGAATTGCCTTGACATTATGTCAACTTGAGAAAATATTCCCTCCTGCATTTTTTGATATAATGGTGCACCTCCCAGTTCACTTGGCAGATGAAGCAGCGCTTGCAGGGCCTGTTCAATATAGATGGATGTATCCAATTGAACGGTAATGAATAAATTTTTATAATTTTTTACAATTGTAGTCATAACTTTAATTAATAATTATAATAATTTGTATTTCGTTTTATAATTGTAGGTATTTGCAAACACTGAAGCGCTATGTTTGTAATAAAGGTCGTCCTGAAGGTTCTATTGCTGAAGCATATTTGGTGGATGAGTGCTTGTCATTTTGTTCCATGTATCTTAGAGACGTTGAGTCTCGTCGTACCCGTAGAGGCCGAAATGAAGATGGGATTGGACGTGGAGTATCTGGTGGGTTATCAATTTTTGACTCGAAAGGATGTTATATGGGTTCAGGAGAAAATGTGGAGCTCAATCTATATGTTCTTGATCAGTGCCATAGATACATTCTAAATAATTGTGATGAAGTTAGCCCATTTAGAAGGTAAGAATGTTTAATCATACGTCTTAATGTTTTATTGGTTTTCTTAACTTTGAAAAAATAATTATCTAAATTGGACATAATTGTGTAGGCAACATGAAGAATTCTTGAAAACTAAATATCGTCGAGAAAGGTTAACTATGCGACAAATTAAAGAGCTAAGCAAGAAAGAATTTCCAGAATGGTTCAAGCAACATGTAAGTTGATATAATAATCATATTATTTATTTATTGTTTTGCATTTTAATTATAACATGTTTATAGTTATTCTGTCAATATTTATCTTCATACTTATTACAGATGAATTCAAGATATGATGCTAATGACACATTGATATCTCAAGACTTGCATTGGCTAGCTAATTATCCTAGTAGGGTTGTGAGCAAATATAAAAGTCACATTGTTCATGGATTTAGATTTCGTATAAAATCTGTGGATGATAAGCATAAGAATCAAAACTGTGGTGTCTTTGTACCTGCAAATGTTCCTGGAGCAATTGGGCAAGTAAATTGTTATGGCAGAGTTGTAGATATGTTCGAGGTCAAATATTGTGGTCCTACTGAAGCAGGAGATAGGGGTCGAGCTGTGATGTTATTTAAGTGCGAATGGGTTAATAGTGAAAGTCCACGAGGAATGAAGACTGATCAATATGGATTTACTATGGTGAATTTCAATCAATTGGGATTTAAAGAGGATCCTTTCATACTAGCATCACAAGCATTACAGGCATTTTACGTGGAGGACACGATTGAAAAAGATTGGCACGTAGTTGTTCGAACTCAGCCAAGAGATTTATTTGACGTATTAGAGGATAGTGATGCTATTGATGATTATGACACGCCGAACTTGGATGATCGAATTCTTGATAATGAAAATTTTCATACAAGGGTTGGCGTGGAAGAGACTCCCTTTCTTGAATCATTAGTGTTGCCTACCGGGTTCGTTAATCATGCCAATACCGACGAAGAGCTAACAGATGATGACAGGGAATAAATATATTAATTATTTTTTGTATTAATTAGACTTTGTTTTATTTTGTATGCTATGATATCGTATCATAAAATTATATTTCTGTTTTTTTTTTTTTTTTTCCTTGTTTTCTGTCGCTTTTAACCGACGGCATTTTTCAGGTATGTCAGAATTGGCGTCGGTTTTAACCGACGCAACCCCAGCCTATTTCGACGCAATGTTAACCTTAGGACATGTGTGTCAGACTTGGCGTCGGTTTTAACCGACGCAACCCTAGCCTATTTCGACGCAATATGAGACTATTTCGACGCAAGATACTTGTTGTCAATCATATGCATTACCCCTAATAATAATAATTGTATATAATTATTTTTTATTATTTGCAGTTTTATAGCCTAAATATTAATAATTATATATTAATTTAATTGTTTTACACCCCTAAAAACAATAATAATTATATATTAATTTAACTGTTTTACACCCCTAAAAACAATAATAATTATATATTAATTTAACTGTTTTACACCCCTATACGAATGCAATGAATGTTTTACACCCTAATAACAAGTGGATACCACAAAATCTTATGTTATACTTAATGAAAGTATAAATAAACTCTAAGTGTTAGTCAATCTATCGTTTTACGAATTCTCCAAAACTAATTTCAACGATCAAAACCGTCAAAATTGTTTGTATATGCTTGGAGATCACATCAGCAAAAAATCACAAAAAAAAAACATTCAGAGATCAAGTAACGGGACAAAGCTTTTTGACGGTTATAAACGAAAAATCACGATTTAACGGTTATTTTAACTCCGATTTAGATGATTTTTTATAACTACACTCCTTGACCCTATATGAATACAATGAATTTTACACAAGTGGATACCACAAAATCTTATGTTATATTTAATGAAAGTATAAATAAACTCTAAGTGTTAGTCAATCTATCGTTTTACGAATTCTCCAAAACTAATTTCAACGATCAAAACCGTCAAAATTGTTTGTATATGCTTGGAGATCACATCAGCAAAAAATCACAAAAAAAAAACATTCAGAGATCAAGTAACGGGACAAAGCTTTTCGACGGTTATAAACGAAAAATCACGATTTAACGGTTATTTTAACTCCGATTTAGATGATTTTTTATAACTACACTCCTTGACCCTATATGAATACAATGAATGAATTCGATCTTCAATTTAAAATATTTACACCAGTGGATACCACAAAACCTTATGTTATACTTAATGAAAGTATAAATAAACTCTAAGTGTTAGTCAATCTATCGTTTTACGAATTCTCCAAAACTAATTTCAACGATCCAAACCGTCAAAATTGTTTGTATATGCTTGGAGATCACATCAGCAAAAAATCACAAAAAAAAAACATTCAGAGATCAAGTAACGGGACAAAGCTTTTCGACGGTTATAAACGAAAAATCACGATTTAACGGTTATTTTAACTCCGATTTAGATGATTTTTTATAACTACACTCCTTGACCCTATATGAATATAATGAATGAATTCGATCTTCAATTTAAAATACAAAGAGTGACTCAACTCTTCTAAGCTTTCTAGGGTAATTAACTTTCCGATGTGGAGCAACTCTACATATCACCACACTTCCAACTTTGATTTGGGTTCAATGGTGTTTAATCCATTCTAGTAAATAACAACCAAATGTTATCAAATGTATCAAAATAACAACAAATTAAAATAACAATTAGAGTGCAAAAAAAATTAATTTAACATAATATATTCTTATATTCCTAAATATTATAAGTTTAGGTTATATTTAATATTGTTAATTTAACATAAATGCTTATAAATATTATTCATTCCATTTTCTCATAACAACTCAAATTATGTTCATCTAATCCATTCTAGTAAATAACAACAAAAAATTATCAAAATAACAACAAATTAAAATAACAATTACAGTGCAAAAAAAATTGATTCAACTTAATAAATTTATTTATTAAAATATTATATGACATAACATAACTAATTATTTTTAAATTTTGGGTAAAACTTTTTTATGTTTTTTTGTTTTTGTTTTTGTTCCTTTTTTTTTGGGAAGTAAAAATTTTATTTTTATGTTGGGCGGGAGGTTTCCCGGTATTTTTTGCAGGGAATGGGTTGAAAGATTATAATATTGATTGGCATGTCAACTCATGCTTGGACTGGTTTTAATCGAGGCAAAATTATACATTTTCGAGACTAATTGAATGTCAGACGATTCTTATTTCGAAGCAAATGTTTTCATATTTCGACACAAACTTGCTCTTATTAAAAACCTGTCAGGCTAACGTCGGTTAAAACCGACGCAATGTGACCTTATTTCGACGCAAAGGCATTTATGACTGAAACATGTCAGACTTTCAGTCAAAACTATGTCAGGCTATAATATAGGTCGAATCAGATATAGTGGCGGTTTTAAGCGACACAAACCTGTGCTTATTTCGACTCTATGCAAACTAACGTCGGTTTTAAACGACGCACTAGGCCCTTATTTCGACGCTATGCAAGATAACGTCGGTTTAAAGCGACGCAATAGGCTTGCACTGACAAGTATAGCAGGCTTTATGTCAGGTTACGTGTGGGGAGGTTTAGTCAGTGATTGTGTCGGTTTTAAGCGACGTAATGTATTCATATTTCGACGCTAAGTTGTTATCCATATTTAATTTCTTTGTCTCCCTTCACTTCCGTGTTCCACTTCTGTCTCTCGTCTCTATCACCCATTTCTGGCTTCCTCTTTCCCCCACTTCCTTCTCCTTCCATTAAGTTTTGCAATGGATAATTCCCGTGAAGATCAATGTTCTGAGGAACTTCATTTGGAAGAGGACGAGGGTGATGCTGGTTCTTTTTTGAATTGTTATGAGTGTCAGTTTTTTTTTTTTTTTTTTTTTGTGTGTTTGAACGATTATTATTGCTAATCTGAAAATATACATTTGTTTCCTAGTTTTTAATTGTGTGTTTGTATTAACAAGGTACATCTCAACGGAGGCGTGGACCCTCAATTCCTAAATGGACGAAACAGCTTTGTTCGTTTGATTCGTCCGGAAAATGCATTAGTGATAACGCTAGTGCTTTTTCAAAACATGTAGCAGCGGAGGTTAGGGACTATAGAAATCTTCCGTTGGAGAAAGATTGGCGTAAGGTTACGGAAGAAGATAAGGAAGCTTTCTGGAATAGAATAAAGGTATATATAGATGTTTTTATTTTTAGTTGAAAATAGAAGAATAGGTCAATGATTGTAATAATATTTGACTAGCGTGATTTTTTTTGTTTTTTGTTTTTATGTATGTAGGGAAGTATCTTTTTTGAAGATGCAGATATAGTAAAAATGCCTTTGATCCGTCATATGACGCTTAAGATTGCGGAGCATGCGCACAAAGAGTTTAGAAATAAGTTAAAAAAAAAGTATTATACTAAAAGAGCAGAACAGGTGCGCAGCGAGCCTCCTCCTGATGTGATTCCTACCCAGTGGAATGATTTGTTGGCATATTGGAATAGAGACAAAACAAAGGTAAACCTTACACGATTTATTTCGTTATAACTTTAAAGTTGCCTAATATAATCTTTTCTTTTTTCGTTCGTTTTTTTTCAGGAGGTTGCTGAAAAAAATAAGATTAATCGGGGATTGAAATCAATGAACCATACTACTGGTACAAAATCCTTTGCAAGAGTGCGGGAAGAATATGTATGGATTGTACATTTTCAAGAGATGATTAATTTTAAATAATTATATTTATTTTTAGTATGAGGTTTGCTTAATTTGTTTGTATGAAATTTTATTTTTGATAAAGCGGAAGAAGCATGGGAAAGAAGCAGATCCTGTAACCTTTTTTCGTGAATGTCATACACGAAAAGATAAAACATGGATTGATGAAACATCGGAGCGTACAGGGGTAATTGATTTTTTCGTGTTAGTATTTGATTTTATTAGTATTTATTATCTATAGCTTATTTTTCTGTTTTACGATTGAATTTTTGTTTTTAAAAATTGTAATGCAAGTCAACAATGGAGAGCAACCTGCAAACATTGATTGAGTCGGGCCAAGACGATAATGAAGATCTTAGGACCCAAGTTTATGTTGATACTATGGGTCCTGAGAGGTATAATAGAGTCAGAGGATACGGTCATGGTGTGACTCCTGATATGGTGTCTTATGCATCTTCTTCATCTTCTACATCAATTTCCTCTAGGAGATCATCTAAGAGTTCAATGGCGTTGCTAATGACTCAAAATAATGAGTTGAAAATGAGAGACGAAAATAATAATAAACGGATTTCGGACCTAGAGAACAAGCAAAATCAGTTGTTTGCATGGTTTTTTCAAAGATTTCAGCCACAACCACCATATAGCCCGGGAACCCAACAATCAGGCCACAGTCAACCTCCTCAACAGTCGGGCCAAAGTCAGCCTTCCCCTGCATATCCGTATGCTGGCCATAATCAGCAACCTCTATATCCTGTGTATCCGATGCCTGCGCAGCCCATGCCATACATGCAGCAGCCGCCCATGCCATACATGCAGCAGCCACCTTATCAAGTGCCAGTATATCGACCTGAGATGGCTGCTGCTAGTGGATCTTTTCCTGAAGTTCCAGTTGGGGGGTTTTCTGGAATGCTTGCAGGTGTTGGATTTGATGTGGACTTGTCGAGGATTTTTGGATCAGATGGAGGATCTCAAGAAGGAGGATCTCAAGGAGGAGGATCTCAAGGAGAGATTCTCAAGCAGAAGGATCTGGACGACGTTCAGGCGCAGATTCGGTTGGGTAGTTTAATTGGTTCTTTTTCTTGTCGGTTAAATACGACAGTATAATTGGTCTATCTTTTTGTTTTTTTATGTTATGTTTGTAATGTCGGATTTAATGTTTGTTACGACGGACGACTTTTTGGATTTTATGTGAAATGTTAGATGTACAGTTTGGCACTATTGTTTTTGTTATTTATTTTCATTAATGTTTATTTTGATCTTAAAATTTATAATTTTGATTATATAATTTATTTTGGTTGGAATTAATTGAAATTGCATGCAGTTGTCCATCTACTTTTATTATTATTAACAAATATAGTGTCGGTTAAGACCGTTACTAGTTTTTATATTTATTTATTTAATTGTTATCTAACGTCGGTTTAAGGAATATTTTATTTATTTCATTTTAATATAATGTCGCTTTAAAGCGACAGTATACTGCATACTTTATTATTAAATAGCTGATGCACGTGTAAGTATGCGTCGCTTTAAACCGACGTTAAGGTTAGTGTCGCTTTAAAGCGACACTGTGTAGTGGCGGATTAAGCTCAAAAAGCGACGCTGAAGCCCTTTTGCGACCCTAGCAATAGTGTCGCTATTGAAAAGCGACATTACATTATGTAATGTCAGATTTGTGCCAAATTTTCGACAGAAAGTTGATTTCTCGTCGGTTTGTCCTCCGCCGGTGATAGCATATATTGTAGTAGTGTTAGTGAGAAATTAAGATGGAGTCTTTTGACCTCTTTTTATATAATACTTTTAACTCTCTTTTTGTTATTTTGTGTTTATTTCTGTGACATCCCACATCGCCCAGGGGAGTGATCCTTATATGTATATTCCCATCCCTACCTAGCACGAGGCCTTTTGGGAGCTCACTGGCTTCGGGTTCCATGGGAACTCCGAAGTTAAGCGAGTAGCGCGCGAGAGCATTCCCAGGATGGGTGACCCATCGGGAAGTTCTCATGCGAGTTCCCAGAAACAAAACCGTGAGGGCATGGTCGGGACCCAAAGCGGACAATATCGTGCTACGGTGGTGGAGCGGGCCCGGGAAGTGGTCTCGCCTGGGCCGGGATGTGACAATTTCCCTATTCACTAAAGATGATAGTAAACTTATAATTAGTAGCATTTTCTATCCTTTTGTTATTCATCCATTACCTAATCTCTTCTACAACTATTATTCTCTCAATTTTCTTCATTCTTTCTGTTTTCATTTATTGGCCAAAGAAAGGTGTTCATGTGATGGGCTTTGGACTCTTGATTTTGTGCAAATAAGTTTAAGTCACATAAAGATTCAGTTGGGCTGTTGTATTCTAGAAGCAGGGGCAAATTTATAGAGGAATCAGGGTGGTCCCAGGACCCTTCAATGATTGGAGAATGGCTTGTGAAGTACCTCAGAGGACCACCCTAAACCTTAGATGGAGCTTTATGAAGGACTGAATGGATAAATCATTGTGAAAAATAATAATTAGTCTCCTAGTATAAGAGTCACCCTCGGCTGGGTTTCATTCACCGGAGTTTGAATTTTGTAGTTACAAAACCAGCAGGGTAAAGTCAAAGTGAAGAAGATGGATTTTTTTTTTGAACAAAGAAGAAGAAGAAGGATTGTATCAAGTTAATGGTATCTTAGGAAAAAAAAAAAAAAAACTATCCATTTACTAGTTAAAAATTGGCACTAAATATTTTAGCAAGGCTTTTAATCTCTAAAGAACAAAACAAGGCCGTCCATGTACATGCAATGTGTTCGACGAAATGTTTCATTTAAAAAATAGAGAAAAATTTTTGAGTGCTATTTCTGTCTACAAAGTCGAATCTTTTATCCTAGGACCATCGGTGTTGAAATCCTGGATCCACTACTAACTGGAGGGGACAAGTCAATGGATATACTGCTGCACTTGTTCATGGACTTTTCAAATCGCTGTGAGCTTGAATCTCCTTAAAAAGAGCGAGATACCTACGCCACAGCTTAATTGTCGACGTGCTTCTGAGAAGAATATTATAATTTCCTAGTAATTTTCCCAACAATTTTAAGGAGATTCAAATTCACGGAGCATGTACTTGAGAAGTTGTTCGACAATATTGGAGATCCCAACAAGTCATTCCGTTTCAAGGGAACTCATTTCAAGAGGTCGAAGGGGAAAGTCCTTTTCTATCTCAATCTTCTCAAAACTACCTACGTTCTCACCGACAAAAATCCAAACAAAAACTGGCAGGAGAACATGACCGGAGATGAGCTCTATGACCATAGAAGAAAAAGTCCAACAATATGAAAAAAGATGAGTACAAATGCCGGTATTATCTCTTGAATTGTCTTGATGATATTTTTATGATTATTATGAGACCACTTACTCTTCTGCAAAAAAGATTTGGAAAGCTTTGCAGTGTAAATACGACACCAAGGAGGAAGCCTTTTTCTCTGTTACCAAATGGTGGATGAGAAATCAGTTGTGGAGCAAGTCCAAGATTTCCAAATGATTCTAGCGGAAGTCACATTCGAAGTTGTCAAAATTGGTGACATCTGGGATGCTAGGGTCCCTCATAAAGTTAAGATTTGTGCTTGGAAATTCTGCAGAGACATCATCCCAACGAAGAAAAATCTGATTAGGAGGCATATTCCTGCTGACTCACTGTGTGTGCTGTGTGATGGGCATGACGATTCTCCCATTCACCTGTTGGGAGATTGCTTGGATGTCAACTATTTTTGGTAAGCGTCATTCGAGCGTGCAGATTCTTTCGGTCATTGAATGGGGCTTGGATTTGGTTTCTATACTTAACCAACACAATTTCAAAGTTTGCTTGATGGTATGGTGGGCCATTTTGGGGGCTCGAAATGACAAATTGTGGAATGGCAAGTCGAATGGACTTGATATCATCATTACCGAGCAATTAGCTGGTGGCTGGATTTCTAGAAAGCTTTCTCAGGGGAGCGTTCTTGCTGCTTCTCTCATATTGTCTCTTCATGGACCAGACCCCTGCTTTGGTTCTTAAAAATTAATGTGGATGGTGCTTGGAAGGAGTCCAAGAAGATTAGAGGTCTGGGTATTGTGATTCGGAACCATCTCAATCTTTTTGTGGTTGCTCGAGCATTGGTTTTTGAGTATGTTTCATCGCCTCTCCTTATCGAAGCCCTTGCAGTTTGGGAGAGGTTATTGCTGACAATTCAGAGGGGTCATCAAGATATCATTATTGAGAGTGATGCATTCCAGATTATATCGGCTCTATGCAATGGTCTTCTCAATGGTTCCTTGCTCAGTAACATTGTGGAAGACTCAAAGGCATTTTTTTCAACAATCACTGGAGCTACTGCTACCGATACACGTCGCCAGAATAACGAAGCTACTCACCGTCTTGCTTGCTATGCTCTTTCTAGTTCTACCAATTGTTTGTGGTTTGAGGAACCACCTGACATTATCATTGATGTTATTATGTTTGATTGTAATGTCCAAACTTTGCTTTGCTGTGTCTTAGCTTTGTTTGTTGTTTTGGCTTCGGCCTACCCTTTTGTACCGAACTTTTTATCAATGAACTAATATTGTTCCTTTCCAACAAAAAAAAAAAAAAAAAACAAAAATTACAATTCTACTTCAATCTATTTGCTTTCTTCTTTAAATTTTTGGCACGCACATTTATGTCATATAAATAGAAAACATGTAGGAATCATAAGCAATTTGACTTTAATTACAATGGTGAAAAAAGACTTTGAAAAATATGAAAGTTGTAGTAAGGCTAAAATCACTAAAAAGCCTCATACAAATGTTGAAATAAATTTTGGAATTAATTCATACTGATATTTGTGAATTTGAAAGAATTTTAACTCGTGGTGGAAATACATATCTTATTGCTTTTATTGATGATTATTCCAAATATATTTATGTTTATTTGATGAAATAAAGTGATGCTTATAATAAATTAAAAAAGTTCCTCCTTCAAATGTAATTCCTTTGTACAATCTTTATGAATAATACATGAAATCGAATTACTATTTTCAATAATAATTGAAAGTGGTAGTACCACCAGGTTGTAAAACTATAGGGTGTAAACAGATCCTTAGAAAGAAACTAAAACCATATGGAAGTATAAATAAATTTAAAGCCAGTCTTGTTGCAAAGGATTTTAAACAAAAAACTAATCTAGAATTCTTTGATGCTTTTTCTCCAATTACTATAGTAATATCCACTACATTGCTAATTGTTATTGCTTTTATTCATGATTAGATTATTCATCAAATGGATGTGAAACAACTTATTTGAATGGAGATTTAGATGAAAAAATCTGTGGAGCCAAAGGTAATCTAAAAAGTTCAGAATATGACACGTGGACTTTTTCTTAAGAGACAAGAATGCCGTCATTAAATGGGCAAGGCTCTCAAAGCTCAACATCTTTGGAGGTTCAAGCAGCTGACTACGACTGCTCAAAGCTCCCATGCTCATGTCATGGAAAAGTCAAAGGCAATAAAGATATGATTAATTACTAAATCCAATCTTTATTACATTCCCAATCACAATCAACCATGGATGCTTCCATCATCATCCCAATATATTATCTCCTAATTAATATCTTAGGAATATTATTTCCTTATTCATCCAACATATGATACACCTTTGCCAATCAGATGCCACTATGTGTGGGGCAATCCCTAACCCTATGGCTGGTCACTTTTCCCTATAAATACCTCTATTTCCACCAAATTTTGGTAAGCTTTTGCAATGCATACAAACCACATTCACCCACTGCATAGGCAGGCCTGTGCCTATGCCTGGCTTCCTTCTACTTCATCACGCTTGGCCTGTCCTAGGCCTAGTTCCTAGGGGCTGAGCCTTATGGGTCGCCCAGCTCCGCACCCTAAAGTTCCAGTCTTCTCTACCAGAAACGATCCAGGTCATTGCGTTAGGAAGCCAGCCGCGTATCACCAGCTCCTCGGCTCCTTGCCGAGCTGTGACCTTCCTACAGCAACCCGTTGCCCTGCAACGTTTTCTCACCTCCTCGGCATTCGTGAGCTAATCCATCAAACCCCGACACTTCATAAAAATAAAGAAGAAGGAAAATACATTTTTCGTACCTTGGTGTGC